ATCACTCCCTATTCGCACGGTTTCTCTCTGGTCCGGTCGTTGCACGTCCGCGTTAGAGATCATGGCATCAGGATCGGGAGAAAATCTTGTTGCGCGTTCTTGGTCCATCTGTTGAGCGTGGGCGAAGGCGTCGGCGAAGGCGGCTTCAAAATCCACGTCGGAGATTTGTACCCTTTGTTCCATACTCATTCTTGACGACTGCTGTATTTGTTGCTGCTGTTGGAAACCCCCAGAGTAGGATTGGTACATGGGCTGTGAGTAGTCCATCATCGACTGCTGAAACATGCCGGCATTGCTCAACACTGGACCATCCCGCACCGCCTGCTTCCCTTGCGCAACCGGCGTACCTGCCCCTGACCGTTGGCGCATGAACTCATTCTGCCATGCGCCGAGCGTTGTCGACTTGATGAGCGGTGCTTCAGTGCGAAATTGTCCCGCTGGCAGCGGTTGTTGCTGGGATATGGATAGCCGTTGAAAATCGGCTGCCCAGCCTGGTGCTGGAGCAGGAGGGCCATGGTTCTGCGGGTGGAATAAATCGGGCTGCTGGAACTGGAACGGCTGCGGCGTGGACGTCTCAAAGGCATGGAAGTCGGCGTCAAGAGACCCGGCTCGAGGGTCGAGGGTGCGAAAGCCCTGCAAAGAACCAGAAGTCAATAGCGGACCGAGCAACATAGCGGGAAGATGGACTCACCTGGCCAGGCGACTGTCTATTACTGACAAGACGGTCCTGCTGCAGCGTCCGGTCTACCTGAGTGTGTTTTTGCAAGTTCTGAAGCGGGTTGGAGGGCCCGCAGAGAGCATCTGTCATTGTGACGAAGTGGGGGGTGGTAGGGTCAAGGAGAGATGCAAGTTCGCCTGGTGAGAGGCATGTCTAAATAAAATATGATAACAAGACAGGATAAAGATCGGGAATCGGGTCGCTTTCGGCCGCAAAAACTGGCTTGACGTATCGTATGAATTGTAGGTGAGTTTGGTGGTTGATGAGCAATTCACACAAGTTCGCCATCGAGGATTTGATGCCGAGGTCCAATACGATTCGGGCGTCGGGAAAATATTTATCCTGTGGCGACTGGGCCTGCTGCCCGACGAGGCTGAGGTATCCCCTCTACTCGGTATGAGGTCCGCTGTACATAGGTAGATATGGCTATGGCTGCACGCTTACTGCCCACCAATCCACCGCCAGATGCCCTTGGTGTCCTCCCTCCTGATGTCCATCCCGACCTTTGCCAATAGCTTCTCCGCCTGCCTCCATTCCCCCGGCTTGAAGTATCTAGGCTGTCGTTCGATGCCTTCTGCCTGCTCTTTCCTCCTAAGCGCCCGCTGTTCTTCCTCAATCTTATACTTTTCCCTACTTGCAGTGCTCGTTTCGCCCTGCTTAATGGCCTCAGACACCTTGTGCCAAACCCGCCTACTTTCTAACGGACCCTGCTCCTCCAAAGGCTTGACCACCATCGCCGGGAGGTTGCGTGCCGTCGCCGTGTCCACCACTTCAACCGGCCTCCGTGCTGAATCGTAGATGGTAAACGCGCCGCCTACCCACTGACCCCGGACGGTAAATAGCGGAGAGCTGGCATGTCCATCATGGTAGAGCTTGGCATGAAACGAGTTCTTCTTCCCTCTCAACCACGCTCGGCCGGAATACTCGATTTCTGCCATGATGCCATTGCTGCCAACAATGTAGTTCCTGCCTTCCATTTCTGGGTAGGGCGGCGGAGGAATCAGTCCTTCTAGACGAAGGCCTGGTAGGGTGACCAGATAGTCTTCGTCAAAGGCATCCAGGTGGAGCAAGACATGTCCAATTCGGTCAATGCAAGGCCTGCCCCTGAAGTATGTTTTCTGCCGATGATAGCCTTCCAATGTGACCTTGTACTTTTCATTCTGGATGTGATACGCCGTAATGGGCGGATGGTGACTGACCTGCTCGACCACAAGCTCTGTCTTTCCATTCTCCCCATCTTCCCGATGGGCTAGAAACAGCTCTCCAAGGATGGCGTTTAAAGGTTTCCTTTTCATCCCGCGCTGCTTGGACCATTCGGCCCGAAGAGTGCCCAGATACCATTTCAACACTGCAAGGGCACGAAGGACCTTGGAGCCCTCCTTCGCTGGGGCGACAAAGAGGCTTGGATCTTCGCACCAATAAGATGGAAACTCAGTCAACGACGTCGGGCTAAGGATGAAAGCCGGAGCGGTGATGGCGGATAGATCTCCTCCGAAACCTCGCAATGACTAGATCTAGCATTGGTACCAGGTACACATTTCCACGCAATAAGTTCTGGGTTCATGTTACCTTTATAAATCCGAAGAATTCAGCCATTCTCCCCGGCGTGAGCGGCGTCGTGTCAGACTCATCATTCTGATCTTCGGACGTCGTTTCTTTCATGACTGCGACCGGCTTGGATTGCGCCTAGGTGTTTCCTTGTTGTTTCCGGGTCGATTGGTGACGGGTCGATCTGCAGAATGGAGAGTAGGGATATTTTGAAAGCGCTGGGTTTCATTCATGAAAACTTAGGGAGCACAACTGCTCCTGTGCAGCCAGCCGTAAATACTCAGCACAGAGAAGGAGCGCAGGACACTCATCCTCAAGTCGGGGAGATATATATATCCCGAGATGTAGCGTCTCTGATATGACCTATGAATACGGTCTCGTGCCAGGCAGAAAGTCATTCAGAATGCTGGATGCGGAGAGTCGCGGCGGATGAAACGAAACTTCGGCGCCGCATCGGATGCGAAACTTAAGCGAACTTCCCTCTGGATCCTCCGAAACATGATGACACTTACAATTCTGCCATCTACCAAATAGCAAGCCGTCTATCTAAGAGTATGAATATAGTGTACCAGTGCATCACCGTGAAGCCAATTTGCTCGCACATCCAGGTCGATCAGAACATCCATAGCCATGCACCAGCGCAGCCCATTACAAGTCCTGCAGCCAATTCTCTCGCACTGCCACGCACTTCGACTAGGCCAGCTGCGGAATTGGCCGAAGAGCTTGCACTTGCGCTTGCAGTTGCAGTGGACGAAGCCGAGGCCGTCGAGGTTGTCGACGAGCCAGTCTCAGTACTGGCTGTGTCATTCACCACGCGGAACCAGTTGGCGGCAATCGGGTGTCCCAGACCAGCAGCTTCAGCAAAACCGGACATGTTGAAAGGGTATCTCGCATTCACATCGACAGGTGGGCTGAATGATATATAAGCCTGCGGAACAGTAAAGTCCCCGGGCTGAGGGTAGAGCAGTAACGTGTATCTGTGCGGCCCATCTCCTGCGGGCGGCGAGGGAGTCAGATACTCCGCGCCGACGGCCGTCGTGGCATTTCGTGCATTTGGCTCAACGGATAATTCGTGGTTGATGCCGACAAGGTTGGGCTGAAAGTAGTGGAGCAATTGAACCCGCGGGCCGTTCCCCGTGTTGACGTCCTCGTCGACCATGAAGAGCATGTATGTGGCTTCCTCCGTGGCGTCTTCGGGGCCATACACTGTTGGGCCATAGAGCACATCTGCACAAATGTGTTAACAATAGATGTCACGTCGAGTCAGGTCCAGACTCATACCGTCTCGGGGCAGCAGCGTTCCTGGTGGGCTAACGCTCGCCGAACTGTTGAGGAAGTCGACACGAAGGTTGGTGTCGACCTGAACGGGGAAATTTGGTGCAGATTGGGCACTAACGAGTGCAGCCAATGTAGACACACCAAGGACTGAGAAGGACTTCATATTTGCACTTAGATTAGTATCATGTAGGGATTATGGTCAATGCCAGCTTCAGAGAAAGGTGCAAGTTGAGATGTTGACTGACTTGATCCAAGGCCGTGACTTCAGGTTAAGTACTCCTATCGTGTGGGCCCATCACTGTGTCTTCGTGGGAACCAGCCTCGAGCCGGTCTGGCACTTCGCTCTAGTTGGTCCTGTCGTTACCGCACAGCAGCTTCGATTGGTGCCTGCATCATCCGCCTCCTCCATATCAACCCAAGTTGTCTGGCCACGACCAATATCTTCAGGCGTGCAATCATTCCCTCAGGTGCATGAAACCGTTTGTGTTGCTGACGAAAAATTCTGCGGGACAGGGTTTGGGATAACCAGATTCCGAATATGGGAGCATGGCCCCCATTCTCCACGGCGCTAGACAGAAGAACATTCTCAATCGGGAAGCTCTCTTCGAGAGTCGAGATCAACTGCATTATTAACTCAGCAGGCCATCTTAACAATCATTCGTTCTCGTCCTGCGTAGGCTCTGGAAATCTTGACTGACCCGCGAAGTAAAGTGTCCCCTTGTAAGGGGCTGAGAATGCCAGAACTTACCCAAAGGAGGTTGAAATCTTACCCCCGATCATCCAGCAGCCAGATACTCGGATGAAGCATAGTTTGTTCATCATTTCGGGCTCCCAACGAGCTCGAAGGATTATCAGATATAAGACGCGCGAACCACTGACGATTGCAGGGCGTCCTTCAGCTCTATCCGCCGAAAACATTTGATAGCCCTGGTGGAACCCGGAAGCGTTCCGTCACTCATCTCGCTTCGGCCCCCTGGATGAGCTGAGCACAGGTAAAACCGCTTGCTTCTCTTGCTCTTGCGCCGTGTCAACGTTTTGCATTGGCTTTTCTCAAGGTCAATTTGCACATCCATCGGAAGTGTACCGCAAATGGTGCAATCGAACAAGTAGGCATCGTGAAAGACGAAGCTCAGGTGGCAGTCCGCTAGAACTCTGAATTTCTCGTTGCTTCGAGTATATCTCCTCTTACATTTTCTCCAAGTGACCTTTGACAGATGATCCCCTTGCTATGCAGTCACCTCGTGGGTTTGGCCAAGTTGACATTGAAAGCTCAAGCACCATTATAGCGATCGTACAAGTCGCTTAGATCCTGTACATGAACCGACCAAGGTCATTGAAAATATTGAAATCTTGCCAGAGCCCCGCTTGACCGATGTTGAAAAGAAATGAGCGAGATGTGCGGTAACCAACCAAGTCCACTGGGTCTGACTCCCACGTTCGAGGGCTCGGAACTTCTTTATGAAGGTCCTGTTGCGAATCTTCCGGCTCGAAGTTCCTCTTCCGTCCTCCTTCTCCAGGAGTCAGATACCCTGGCCCAGTCCACATCGCCTAGTCGCCCGAGGGCTCGACAACCATCGCAATCAACATAATCGCTCAGGGTGCAGGAAGCATGGCATGCGGGACAGATATCGTGCACTTGCTTATGCCAACTCGCATTGTGAAAGTTCCAACCAGTCTTCTGGATCCAGAAGTTGCTAACCTCGCAGCCAATGATGGTGTTCCAATATTCCTCACGGCGAGGTCTGTTGGTGAGGCAGTGATTGCACAAGCGGAGGTCGGCCGGCATCCAGGGCTTCAATTGGGTCATGAGTTCCGGAACATCAAAAACGGCCTTTGGGAGAAAGCCCGCATACTTGGGCGAGGTGGGCGAGAGACAAAGCTGGACGTTGCGCGCTGCAATGGCCATGCGTTTGCAAGTTAGTGCCAGGGCAACCTGGGATGGAGCGTGAGCGACATTGTCGTATACTGCAAGAAGAATCTCATAGGGCATCATTAAGAGGAGAGATTGGCCCTTGTACTCCAAGTCGGTATTCTTGAGGATCTACAGAAGTCAGACCCTCGGCTAGAGAACACAACTGGGACCCAACTGCACCTCTTCGGAAACGATGAACCTTGATGAGAGTTTCCTTTCGAAGTCATGGCTTTTTGCTTTGCATTTGAGTGGCTTTCGAGGCACCGGGCACGAATCCTCTTTCGTCTTCGTTCCAATGCCCGCGGGAATGCCGGTCCAAAGAGCCATGGAGTAACCTCTCGACGATCTGGCGGTAATCAGAGGTAAATAAAGGCCCCGTGCTGGTCGCAATGCTGCTTCACTATGGTGAACCTCTTTCGACGATCTTACCTGAGGTACCGATCGTCGAGTAAGAAGAACCTGGACTAGAGTCGTACGAGGTCCGCGACGACTTGTAGGAGATAAGCAGCCAGCCCAGCCGCATTCGGCGATGAGTCTCCAGGCACGACGCTATACCATTTACATGATAGTCTAATGCTAGACCCGGCAGTAGCCGCCTTGGCGTCTCGGCGCTATTCTCACATCTCGATTACAATTTTCCCATTCGTTTTGCCCTCCCAAATGTCCTTCAGCCCCTCGTCAGCATTCTCCAAAGGCAGCACTTTGCCAATACATGGTTTGATGCCGGTGGTGGCTATGAAATCCAGCAAGTTGACGAATTCCTCACGTGTGCCCGTATAAACCCCTGTCAGGGTGATCTGATTTACGAAGAGATGCATCAAGTTTAGGGTGATGTTTTTAGAGGCGCCCTCCGAGTGAACTCCGCATGACACTACCGTGCCGCCTGGTTTCACGGAAGCCAAAGAGTGGGACATTGTCGATGCTCCTGACGTGTCGAACACAGCATCCACGAGATATGGCACCTTCGCGCCGGGCTCGAAAGTACCTTCTGCGCCAAGCGAGCTTGCGAGGTCGCGCTTCGCTTTCGTCCGGCCCGTCGCCCATACGCGGAAACCAGCAGCCGAGCCCATCTGAATGAGTGCTGTCGTGACCCCTGCAAATAGTCAAATGTCAGTCATCGCCATGGAGGATATAAAAAAGGCAAATCCAAATTCAGCGGCTGAGTTCTTACCGCCAGATGATCCTTGTACCAGAACAGTTTGGCCAGCTCTAAGTTTCGCCTGCGTGAACATCATTCGGTAGGCTGTCAACCAGGCAATTCCCATCACGCTTGCTGATTTCGCATCCAGTCCCTTGGGCCTGGGCACGGCATTTCTTTTGGGAATTATGGCATATTCGGCCAGATTCCCTTGGACAAGTTCGCCGAATACGTGTCTTTTTGGGTCAATCGTCTCATTTCCTTTCCAGTCGGGATCCCCCATGTTTGGATAGATGGCAATCTCTGTCCCATCCTCAAGTATCCCGGCACCTTCATTGCCCAGGATCATTGGATAGCGGATCTCATGCATCAGCATTCCTCGCAAGGTGAAGATGTCGTGGAAGTTTAAACCCACAGCCTGCATCTTCACTCGGACCCATCCTTCCTTAGGCTCCGGGATATTCCTTTGGCCGATCCGGATTGATGACAATGGGTCCTGCGGACTAGCCACCGACGCATAGACCGCCCGCATGGTCGGCTTCTTAGGATCGACATCGCCCATGTTGAGATGTGTTATCTTGTCATTCTTGACCGAGGCGAGAAGGAACAAGTCGAAGGGTTCGTGAATCCCAAATTCTTTGCCAAAGTCTCCGTCCATCATGATGTGGGTGTGCGTCTTGCCGTCATCTTGGATGGCTTGATCCAGGACTTTGACTCGCCCCTGATGGCCTATGATGCCGTGTTCGCACAAGGCTGTTATCGCATCACCAGTGAAACTCTTCCCATCATCGATGACCTCAGCATCCGATGCAAAAGCACTCAACATGACTTCGAGATTTGCGGTATTGATACCCTCAAGAAATCGATTGACGGGTGCGTGAGGAGAAGCCATTGTGAGAGCTGTTGGATCTGTCGAGCTGTATGAGTTCTTCGAGCTGGAAGGAGACCAAGGTTGTATATATTCTGCGGAGGAGGCGCAAGCATAATGTCTGCCCTGATTGGCTCCGTAGAAATGGAGGTGAATGGTAATGGGCTCCAGTCATAAGCCAACAAGCAATGGCAGGAGCATTATGTAAGTCATTGCTGGCTTACAGCACGTGACGGTGAGCCATTTCGTCCGGATAGACCAGCGGAACGGGAGTTGACCGTTGTTGATAACGATTTTGGGCGTTGGAGAGTAAACCATCTGATGTACTTGACCGCCAGGAAGTGGGCGAAATGGCGTCGTACGGATATTGGACCCAGTGTACAGCAGACTATGGGTCAATTTCATCATCTGTGAAGTATGATCCAGTGTGATTCGGTGTGATCGATTCTGCCACGATTCGCGGTCAAAGCAGCCGAGTGGCCAGGATGAGTTCATCCAAAGCGATGCGGGAAGTCGAACTTTTGTTGGAGGTTATCACTTTCCAGCCAGGATATAAGCTCATTGTAAGTGCGATGATCATACAGCGGCAAGCTTGTGCGCTCAGCATTTGCTTCAATAAAATCAGCCCGATATTGACGCTGGAACTCTGCGTAGCGTGTCGGACTTCTCTCGCCGTCCAGAGAGAGGATAATGGAAGAGTCAGACGGCAAACCATGCACACGGTCGCGAACGTTTTCTCCTCGAGGGCCTGTCCTCGACAGATCGACGATTTTTAGTCTGGCCATGAGCGAGTTGAAGTCGGTGAGAACCCTTGCGCAATCGGCGGCGTACTCTTTGTTGCTACTTTGGTCCACATCCAGGATGGAAATGACAAAACCAACTTCCTCATAGTCTTCTTGTGCCTCACTATGGGCCAGAAGCTGATAAAGCTGCAATGTGAGAGCAGCATTGAACAAATAATGCACGCTGGAAACTGACAGCCTCGCTGGCCGTTGTAGGTTCAAAAGTCGATGCCAGAGGCGGATGTTTCTTCTTGCAGCATCTGCACAGAGATCGAGTTCCGCCTTGTGCGATATTTCAAGGCCTGTTGTTCGACGGTTCAAAAGCATATCTGCTGTAAATCTCTTGACGTTGATGAAGAGCAAAGGTCGGACAGTAAGAATGATGAGCTGCAATGTTAGCAAAGTTGCCTTTGGGCATTCTGATCAGCTCACCTGATTATGAGCCATGTGCAGCTCCCCAACAGCGCGATCCCGGCTCAAATTCTCCTCTGTACCTATAACGGCAGCCGGAAGGTTTTTTGACCAAGATTTCAACAACCTGAGGGCTTTCTGAATGCATAAAGTCGTCATGAGAGGTTCATCGCTCTGGCGTGCAACGTCATAAACGTTTGAAACTATATAGTTGGAGACCCTGGCAAGCTCAATATGAGCGCGAAGGCCATCTGCAGGAGCTAAGTCACTGTACTTCGTCAGCTTTCACTTTAGAGGCCGGGGAGAATCTGCGTACCTTGAATCTCGGGGCAGATCTAATTTGATTGCGTCGTCGGAAATAAGGGCCGGTCTTCCCATTAGGCAGCTCAGCCAACTGCAACTTGTTAGCAAATCCGAAGACTAAGAGGGAAGCTGTGGGTTGACCGATCTAGGACATAAACAGTCCAAAACAGCCGTTTGCCTCGCTCGTCGACCATCCAGGCTCGGTGAACTCCATGAACAATCAGAATATGCATTGCGACGCTGACGTAGATGTATGCAGCATCACGTCGATTGCTATTAAGCAGGTAAAACCCCAGAAGAGCAAGGACGGTTGCATCGTTAATGGTCGAATCGTCGAGGGGATTTCCAACTAGGCTTTTCGCCCTCGCGAAGAAGGTCTGTCCAAATCCAGTTTCCCACGGCGGCGCACATTTTGGATTGAATTGACAAGCAACAGCGAACGCAGCATTGGCCGTCGCCATATTAGGACTCGCTTCGATCGTCCTCACACCCTCGACATAGGCTCGATATTCGTCCAGCACAGCCTGCACATCAATCCAATAATAGATGCCTCCAGAAGCGAAAGTGCCTTCACCATTCTGAGCCGAGTGTTGAAATTCTGACAGCATAGCCGCAGCCTGCTCGTTTGTTGGGGATATGAGAGGGTCGACGGTAGTGGTCAACAGAGGTCGGCTATCATGAGTCTGATATTTGCCCAGCGCCGAGATGAAGGCCGTGGCATCCGGGTTCGAGGCACCTGTCCAAGCGGCCTCGAAGGCCAGCGGAAACACCGTCGCCATATATTCTCGTAAGTGATTTAGGAAAGTGGCGCCTGAAGATTCACCGAGATAGCGCACCGTGCCATCGGGATCTTGAAGGATACGCCCTTCTCGGAAGTGTTGACTGTCTTCGGCCATGTCCTCGCCGTAATTTTCGGGAGGTCTAGGTTCTTCGGGAGCACGGTTGTTTGCTTGAATATGCTGAATCAACTTATCCCTCTCACGTTGCGAAGGGATGGCTTCTGCGAGAGCCTGTTCCAGCAACGCACATCTTGCTTTGAGCGTATCGTACTCTTGGCGTGGGATCGAGACGGTCTGCACGGCTTGAGGATACAAACACTCGCGCGACGATTTGCGGCATCTCTCGCATGGCTGGCCTCCAGAGCATTTGGCCCGTTTAATATTGCAATTATTGCATCTTGATTCGGGACGCGGAGAGTAAGTTTCAAGGCATACAAACAACGCAAGGGGCAGGGGAGGGGTCCTACGCTTGGGCAATTCTCTTCCGTAGCTCCGGTGCAATTCTATGCCGCCGAGGGTTGACAGGTAGACGCTCCATCCGCCGGGCCTACCACCACGGACCAAGGTGGGATGGCTTGGGAGGGGGCGACATAGCGCGTTTGACGGTCCAGGGGGATGACGAAATGCTTCTGGACGAGACTATAGCAGACAGCTACCTCGACTCACCTTCCACTTCCTGCCAGGCGTTGAATAAAATTGAGTCAGTGAGAAAGGAGAGGAGCCTTGCTACTGAGAAGGAAGAAAAGATGGAGCTCTAGAGCGACACTCGATTTATAAGGAAAGTTTGCCGAGCTCTTAATTTCCGAGCTGCGCATCCTCGTATTCCGTGCTCCTCCCATTGCCCGTGCCCAGTGCCCTGTACCTTGTACCTCGTATCCTCACCCTCACCTGCAATGCATCTCCACAAACTCACGCCAAACACCCCGTACCTAGAGGTACCTCTCTCTAACTCCTGGCGAAAGCAACCCGCTCCCGATCATCGATCCAGGCCAGCTAAACCAGGCTTTGCTCGTACACTCCCCTGAGTGCCCGTCCACCGCCTCCGAAAATGTCCCATCCCACAACATCACGCCACAGATCTTCTTCCATGCTACAGCCTCTCCCTGCGCGTCGCCCGTCATCTGAGCATACTTCCATTGCTGGAAATATCCCAGTGTCCACGGCCCTGGCGTATGAACGCTGCCCAAGCCTCCAAAAGCTCCGTCACCATAGTACCCTCCTTCATTTGCAGCGGTGAAGGCGAATTCCATCGTGCCTTGCCACGCTTGCTTTTCAATGCTGGTCCTTATGAAACCCCACAAGGGAGCAAAAAGTGTTGGCAGGTCATTGGCATCGTGGTAAAATGTCCGCTGACCCGCACCATCCACCAGGTACGAGAACGAGGGCGAACCTCGCAATGGATCAGCACACAGGAAATGCTTCAACGTTGCAGTACGCACGTCTTCAGCGAAGCCCGCCAGCCGCTTCCCCAATGGAGAACCCGTCACCTGCGTCATTACTTTCGCAAGCCTGGACAACGCGTGCCACAACAAAATGTGACTCGAGAAGTGGAACGGATATTCTACCGCATCATCGCCCGGAGTTTCATCAGTCGGGAAGAGTCCAGTAGATTGATCCCTCTTTAATTCGATGAGGGCCAGGACTTGAGACAGAGCGTCTGACTGCAGGATTTCTTCCACAAATGGTTGTTCCTCTGGAAAGGTCTCCCAGAAGTCACAGACCTCCAGCAGCGGATAGCACTGCTGGTCCAGCTGAAACACTGCCCCGTCTTTGGGCCGGCCTGTTGTGAGATATGACCTGTGCCAGAAGTGGTGTGGCTGCTGTGCATATCGGAAAATCCATGTCAAATGACCCTTAGCCGTGGCTTTGATCACTTGAGAGTAAGCGACGCAAGTTTCTCCCTCTGACAACCTCTGAAGGTTCCGGTACACTTGGATCAAAAATTGAATCTGCCAACTTTTGGGGGTTAGCAACAACAAACGGGATTTGCTGACACTTACTAATTGTCTCTCATCCACCCGAGCGGTAAAGCAACATGATCCGTTAGGAGGCAAACGGCATGCTTGGAAGGCGACAGCGGGACCGTGCAGTTACCAAGGATGTACTCCAGGTTTCTGCGGACGATGAACTTGCTGGTAGTCTCTTGGTCCTGCCAAAGCGGTGGTAATCCAACTACTGGTGAAAGATTTGCCTCGCGAGACGTCTGAAAACCAGTTCCCGGCCGCAAGGTGAATTTTGCCGTCAGCGCCCTCGACGCTCGTGGCGGAATCACCAAGGTCTGACAACATGCTCCTTCTACAGGACAGTTCACAAAAGTCTTCTCTTGAAGAGCCTCCTGCAAGTTGACCCACTGACCGTCGCTTTCCAAATGTCCTTCAAATTGTGCACCAAGGGGAGCGTTGACGATCTGAAAGCCCCGGCCACCATCAGCGATGCTGACTTTGTTCTCTGACTTGGGGATTGGAATTGGTCCCCCTTCAGTAAGTTGCCCATACTGATTCATCGTTAGCATCGGCAAGAGCATCGGCAAGCCCATTTCAGAAACGCAGAGTCTTAAAAGAGCTCTGCTATAGCGATATATTTTATGGAGAAAACTCACCGATGCCCGGTTGACGCTGATACCACAATCCATAGTGTACATTAAATGGGACGTTGAGTCGCAAAAAGACTTCACCTCCGAAGATTGAATGACCTCTCCATCTTCGGTGACGCGCAGAGATGTCGTTATTGCCAGACCGTCAATCGTGCGGGAAGAGATTGTCGCCCGGCCCAAGCCGTCGAGGGTTACTTTCGTGTCCAGGGTCTCGACTTCGAAACGCAGCCCGAAACCTGGCTTGCCCGTCTTGACGGACTTCAGCATTCGAGTTCGGTACTCTCGTACGTATGGAGTATCTCTGAACCTAGTGCCATCGAACTGCACATAGGGCTCAGCGAGAACAATGCCATGTTTGGGGTGGAAGGCGCTTATTTGCAGGATCTGGCACTGTTGTCAGCAGGTTGTACTTTTGATTGCCCCGAGGCCAATGATACCGTTCCCCGAAAATCAGTTGATACTGAAATTCCATTGAAGCCTATGTCGATGGTCTTTGATCGCTTGCCAGCGTCCTCGTGGTCAACTGCCATCGTGGTCGATTGTTTGCCGCGAGAAGTCTCTATGTCAGCAACTGGAGCTCAGCCCTCACTTCAGGGCAGCCGGAGCAGTTGGTACTTATGGGAGGAACATGCAGAATGGAGGGCCTTTGAACCATTCCTATCAAGGTGACATATGCCGTCTATCCACTTTGCCATCGCGGGTACTCTACCCGTATGTTCCACCAAGCTTGCTTGGCTATCGAAGGCCGCCAGTCAACTCGGCGCACAACACCCCACACAAAAACCTTTGTCAAAACCGGGTAGCTGTCATGGTCTGGGGTTCCTGGGGGTTTTTCTTGCCTACCTGCGACGCCTTTACATCACTCTCCGCACCTAGTACTCTCCCGCATCTTGATTGTCGCTTCCAAATCGGTGTCGCCTGTACGGTTACTGTACCCGCACGCGGAACTTCGCCATTATGCCTATGGGTAGGATATAAAGCTGGGCCACTTGCTTCAGGTAGGAGAGATGTCTGATCTCGTTTGAACATACTCGGAGTTATAGTTCTGCGCGATTTCTGATTCTGATAACACTTCTTCATTGACCCAGATGTCTGAGAAACAACTCTCGGACCATGTCGAGGCTGGTTGGTCTCCCATTGAGACCGATCGTCAGGCGAGCGGAAACGTGCCTGCTGGTCACGTCCCCGTGACAAATGAAGAGAAAGCTCTGAACCGGGCGTTGAACCGGAAATTTGATATTGCACTCCTGCCTTTCCTGTCGTTGTTATATCTCTTCAACGGCCTGGATCGGGGTAATGTGGGAAATGCTGAGACCCAAGGTGAGTCCAGTCCAAGGACATTGATGCCAGTCAAACTTTAGCCTTTCTCCTGACACTGTCATGCTAGGCTTTACGAAGGACATCGGAGCTCACCCGGACGATCTCAACCTGGCTGTGAGCTTGTTCTTCATCACTTTCGTGCTATTCCAGCCTCCCTCCGCTGCCATAGGAAGATATCTGGGAGCGAAGAACTGGGTGCCTGTCATCATGGTTTGCTGGGGCATCCTCACCATTTGCCAGGCTTTCATAAAAGGGCGAGGTTTGACGGGAGCAAACCGTTCCCACCGAGACAATTGTTGACCCTGTTGGCAGGTACGCTCATTGGTACGCGTCTACTCATTGGCCTTTTCGTAAGTCTTCCTCGAGAACCCTTCACTGGTGTTGGAGGAACAAGCACCGGTGTTTCCTGATAGAACTATTCAGTGCTAATTCTAGAACAGGAAGCTGGATTCTATCCTTGCTGTAAGTCCAGTCGCTCTTGTCGCGTCTGAAATTCCCTTTTTTCAACAGATTGCGCACAAGCGATGCTCTAAACACCGCCCCTGTGGAGGAATGTGTCTTGAACAACACTGACTTTATACGTGTGACACATCTCAGGTGTCTTCTACCTGTCAACTTTCTATACGCGCTTCGACCTTGCCGTCCGCATAGGACTCTTTTACGGCCAATATGCCATCGCTGGTGCGTTCTCTGGCTCTATCGGTAAGTATTGTCCATCTTCATTTGCAAGATGAAAACGAACGCTGAACGAGTGATCAAGCGTATGGCATTTTCCACATCAAGACCGGTTCGCTCAAAAACTGGCAATACCTCTTCATCATCGAAGGCGGCGCTACGTGCCTGATCGCCATTATCGCGTGGTTCTGGCTGCCTCTCGGTCCGGGCAGCGCATGGTTTCTGAGAGAAAAAGACCGTGCATACGCGGTGGAGCGGATCCGCTTGGACAACGCGATGTACGCGCAGCATACCTATGGCGACAGCGGGGTCGAAAACGAGAGGTTGACTCGACGAGACGTGATTGAGACGGCAAAGGACTGGAAGCTCTGGTATGTGCTCTTTTTCAACATACTAGCTAGCGTCCCTGGTCAAGCCTTCTCTGTGTTTCTCCCCCTTGTTGTTTCCGGGTTGGGATATTCCTCGATCGAGGCAAACTTGGTAAAGAGTCCACACCCTCCGTGCGCAAGAAGGTTCTAATTCTTCCAGATGTCTGTGCCGCCATATATTTGTGGAGCAGTTGGGCTGTACATCTTCGCCGTCAGTTCCGACCGGATGTAAGCAATCGTCCCGCTTTCATTTATGCGGCAAACCTACTCACATCCAGTATCTTAGGAAGGAACGTGGCTATCACATTTTTGTCGGTCTCCTAATCACACTCGTCGGGCTTATCATCACCGTCACTGCCCAAGGCCACGGCGGCAAGTACGCTGGCTTGTGCATCTTGCTGTTCGGCAGTTATGTGTCTGCGCCGTTGACCGTGGCGTGGCTAAGCGGGAATACTCCTGGTACGTGCGCACCCCGGAAGATACGGGAAGCTTCGCTAATGCAAAGAGTGTTTAGAGCCCGGCAAGAGAGCACTCGTCTTGGGCGTCAATGGATTCGGAAATCTGTCTGGCGTCATCGGCTCTCAACTCTTCCGCGCATCGTATGGACCGAAGTACCTGATGTAAGTCACATACACCCAAGAACCAACGCAACTCGTTCGTCTTGATCATAGACTAATATTCTCACCCTTCCAACAGACCATTCTATGTGACGTTGGCATTCATCGCAGTGGCATTGGCCGGATACCTTGCGTACCGTTTCACATTGGCAGCGGTCAACAGGCGACGGCAAGCCAAACTGGCGGCCATGAGCCCCGAAGAGATCGAAGACGAGAAAACCAATCCCCGAAGATATGCGGACCGGAAGTACACTTTTATTTACGGCCTGTAAAGCCATCTTCCTCGTTGGGAGGCTCGATTGCGAGCGCGACCGGTGGGTAGCCCCGGTCAACCATGGTCACTCAGATTGTAAGAAACATTTTGATTGTGCAGCTGCACCTGGGTTTGAGTTCTTCTTGTCCGTTTGAGAATCTGGCGTATACGGCAAATCTGTTTGAGATCGTTCCACAACGGCAGCGTCCATTGACCAGAAACGCGAAGGGTGTGTGCAGCCAACGGACAAGTCGCGCTGCTGGCGGTAGCCGAATTCACACATGAGAGTGCTTTAATCTTTGTGCGGACGATTTTCTGCAATCTCTGTCTTCTGTATACTGGCCCCGTTTCAGTAAAACATATGCCAGATCGTCCAGGGCAACCCAAGTTTTTGGGGTCCTTTTTTCCGACACCGGCTCTGCTCCAATCAGCGCCCTTTCGGGCAAGATCAAAAGCAGTATTATAGTCACCCCGGCGCAGGTAATGCCGACAAACGTAATGACAACGGTCGAGTTTTACTCCAAGCAGTTTCCCTTCAACATCGTGGTCAATAACCTTCTTCGCGTGGGATGCGTAAATATCTCCGATTTCTGGTTTCTCGTCTTCCGGTTTGGGGAACGTTTCAGAGAGTTTGATCAAAAGACCGTCGGCGACACTGTCGAGCTTTCCTTCCGTCAAAAGCTTTCTCATTCCTAGATGCACTAGCTGGTGCATGTTGAAAACTCTGCCATCATCGCTGGTGACCAGGTGGTAATTTTCAAGGATGGCTATCGCGTCAATGAGTTTAGGGGTCTCGCCATACTGCTCCTCAGAATCTTCCAGCAAGAGATCCCTCGGTATTTGCGATCGATCAACGGTGGCCATGGTCGAGAGGAGTTTGACTGCCTGCTTGTTGCTATTCTTAATTTGTAGAAACGAGATGTAGCAGGTGAACGCCACTGGATGTCGTTGAAACTTGCGTTTTCGATATCGTCCATGTGCTTCGAATTCCTTGCTGAGAGTATCCATGATGGTCGACTCAGAGTGTTGCGGTCCACCCTCGAGGAGCTTCAGGTAGTCCGACACCGAGGCGTTGAACTTCTTACGTTCAGAGATGTAGCAAGCGGCCTGTGTAATGGCAAGAGCCAGATACTGAAGGTAAGCCCCAAGAAGCTTCTCGAGATCATTAGAAGAGACACTCTCAGGCCCTAGGCCACTTCGGCTGAAGATGAGCTCTGCCGTTTCTGCGTTTGTCATTTCATCCACGTTAATGACAGCGTCGATTCGTTCGGAAGCAAATCGATTCGCAACAGCGAAGGTTCTGGTTGTGAGCGGGATCGACCCCACGTTGCTGTCCGGAAAGAAATTCGACAGTGGCTCCTGAGCGTCATCATCACATTCGTATGGATCATCCCGATATGGATCATCCTGATACGAGTCAGGGTAGAATAAGCGCAGCTCATCTGCATTGTCAATGATCAGCAGCCATACTCCGGAGTCCTGACCCTCAAGCCATTGCTTAGCAACTTGGGCCACATCGGCTCTAGCGAGATCTATACCAGGAATCTCTACAACGCTGACGAGCCTCCGAAAGCTCTGATGAAAACTGCCGCTTGTGCTCGCGTTGATCCAGTACACAGAGGTTGTTGGAGAGTCCGCTTGTACGCGGTATGCGTGCTCCAGAGCGATCTGCGTTTTGCTAGATCTCAGTCAGTTCATGTTTTAACGGATTTTCTCGGTTGGTTTCCACCCTGCGCCTCCAATTCCTTCCGGTACCGCTCGTCTGTTGCCTTTTGTCACATTGAGTGACCGCGAAATATGGTCAATGAAACTCTGACGTTCGACTTATTTGGTGTTTTGAGGAAATTCGACCATCAGATTCACTCTATGAGTTCGCGGTAAGCTCTCTTGCGCACGAGAATCGATGTTCACCTACAGTTGAGAATGTTAGACATGAAATAGCGGGGATGATGTGAAATATAATCCTTCCTACCAACGTTGCCTCTAGCCTGTCCAATTTTGTGGACAGTTGTGTGACAGTGTTTTGTGCTGTGAGGAAGCTGCATTTGAGATCACCAATCTTTTGATCGACGACGACGAGCTGGAGCTCCAGAGCCCTCAGAAATCTCCTACTAGTTGTGAGCCTGGTCAAAATCTAGCCTCGAATTCCGGGAAACGCACGGTTGTATTTCATTGATGATAATCAACAATGATCCTTTCCGTCGGTTGAGTTGATTGAACAAATCGTCAAGGCCCCCTTCTTCTCGCAGTTTGCGGAACGTCGTGAAGAGCTTGTCGAGTTTCGGATGGCCTTTTCCCTTGATCGTTCCTAGAATCGATTTGTACTTCACTCCGATGTCTGTAACAAGTTCGCTGCATACCTTCAGATTTACAATGACAATTTTCTCCTCGAAGGCTGGTTCATTCTGCACAGCTTGCACTATGTCTCTGAACTCCTCCATCTCACTCTGCCACCGACTCAACTGGTCAGGCAGGGTGTGGTACGCGTCCCAGACCTGCTTCACCAGCGAAATGGCCTCGACAACCTGCTCGACCAGTTGAGATGCAACGCCCACGAGGCCAATGATTTCGGCCATGATTGCGAAGCACTGAATATCCAGGGAGCTTAACGAAACTCGGCCGAGCGACAAGCTGGTGGTACGTGACACACTTGAATACAGGCGAAGAGCTGGCGCTCAGACGGAAATACCTGTAGGGAGATATCAGCTCATTTGAGGATGCCGCAAAAGAGCCACCTGCTGGGGCCATTGGTTTTGATGCTCGATTCGATCCCATCCTGGAATGACAACAAAACGCAATCAGCACACCACCACTTTCAAGTGTTGATCAGCTGGCAACAAACCACAACCCCGTTGCAGATAGCCAGGCCTCTTTAAAGGCGGAACAAATCGATTTCTCGTCGGGCTCGACGGAAGGAGCGTGGCGTGCTTTGCGAGAGCATGGTACAGTGATCTTGTTAGGCAATGCTTTCCATGGACCAGTCGGCTCTTGTCTCGACGTTATGCTTCATCTAGAAAACGGGAAGGCGTGTCGGGAGACTTTGAATCAGCTGATTGATTTTCCCGTCCAACCACCAAATTTGCATCAAAAATACAGAGTAATGAGATAATGCCATTCTCTAGAGGCTGTCTTGGTACACGTGCCATTGTACCGCGGCATTTTCGATCATACGACAGAGCCAAGAAAACCAAGCAAGGCAGGCCGTACAAGGCGAAACGCATCTTCCTCACCCTAGGATTGAAATATAATTGGAGAATGGTTTTCTTTGTTTTCGTCGGCGAGTAATACGGAGTGCCAACAGGTGTGATAGGTTCAAACCCCCACAGCAAGTTGGCACCTCATTGCCGAGAGACCGGGGGACCGTATCGAACTACAGATCAACTCAACTCAACCTAACTTAGGTCAGTTCTCTCGCTCAGCCGCTGAACGGACAGTGGAATTTCCCTCAACGTCTCTGTTCAGAAACAAAGAGTATATGATCTAACTGACCCTTGAGCGAGCGGGTCGATCGTATTCTTGTCGCTGACTGCAGCTCTTGAAGAGTTCACCTGGCCTAGCATCTCCCCAACCCTGGTACAGCAACAAAACCGAGTCGTAAGAAAAGAACAAAGGAAGATGTCTGGCAAAGAGATTCCAAAGACGATGCTGGCGTGGCAGAAGCACTTCGGCAGTACGAAACCGGTACGTCCATGTTTACATCTGACGGTGCTGGGACAGACATGTCCCCACCCCGTGCTGTTCCCCTCGGGGTTTTCATGAACATGCAGTACTTGTATCGGATATGTGTTAAGGCAGAAAAACGGACAGATTCGCGTCGAGGTGCCCGTGCCCGTCCCCCCAGAGGATGGCCTGCTGATCAAAATCCACGCGGCGGGAGGTGAGGAAAAGACCTGCCTCTTCAAGAGACACATTAAATGGGGGATACAGAGGCTCAGATGGAATGTGCTGACGGCGTTCTTTAGTATGCCACAGCGATTTCGCCTTGTTAAATATGGAAGTGAAACCGGGCCATTATCTTGATAAATACACGCTGGTAAGATACCCTTTTGCAGCATGATGGGAGGGTCTGCAAGTTCCTCTCCCTATCCTCTCTCAACACTCGGGTATTGAATTGAGATTCTGCCAAGGGCCACGAAGGTTGTGGCGAAGTTGTGTCGGTCGGACCAAAGGTTACGAAATCCAAACCTGGCGACATGGTGTCTGTTCTGTCGGTGCCCGGCTGCGGCAGTTCGACCTGTCGAGAATGTTCTGGCGGAGTGCCGCAGATCTGTGCCGCCGGCGAACACTATGGGATTGGACATGACGGCTCCTTTGCTCCGTATATTGCCGTCCGAGAACGGGCTGCAGTCCACCTCCCCGCGGGCATCAGTGCAGCTGCCGGCGCTGTTGCGACCGATGCGTGCCTGACAGCCTATCAAGCCGTCGTGACCAGGGCCAAGGTCAAGCACGGGGACACGGTCTTGCTGTATGGGCTAGGCGGGCTGGGCTTCAACGCCTTGCAGATAATCTTGGACATTGGCGCAAGGGTCATCATTGTGGACAAGAGGCAGGAGGTGTTGGATGAAGCAGTCAAGTTCGGGGTCAAGAGCGAGGACGTGGTGCCCGTTGGAACCGCAAGTGTGAGCGAATGGGTTGCGCAGAGGGGGCTAGTGGTGGACACTGCAATCGATTTTGTCGGAGTGCCAGAGACATTCAGGACGGCCATCGAGAGCGGTAAGTCTAGCTGGAGGCCCAAAGGCCTTCCCTTGTCGTCGCAGTCAGCCACTGATCAAATCACCTTCAGTCCGCATGGCAGGAACAGTCGTCCTGGTGGGATTGCTTCAGCCCGAGCTGACATTGCCCTCGATGATTGCGGTGCGCAAGCGACTCGATATTCTCTGCAGTTACGGGGGCACGGTCGAAGATCTCGTCGCGTGTTTGGTCCTGATTGGGCAAGGCGTGATCAAGCCCCAAGTGGTGACAGGGAGCATGGCCGACTTTCCCAGCGTCCTGGAGGATCTGCACGCTGGGAAAATCCAAAGCAGAATCGCCCTCATTCCAGAAGATATGCTGTGAACCGAGCGAAACTGCGGTGTCACGGACCTAACTCTGGGCAATGGCAGTCAGGTTACCCAAGAATATTATGGAAAAGAGCTAATAGCTCTCCTAGTTCCTGAACGCGATGGCATCTCGTGTGTATAGATCTCTTTGCTGAGAAATGTCCAGTGCCTTTTGTCAGAGGGTCGTTGTCGAAACCCGGGGTACTGTAGTTACCATCAATACCACCCGTCCGTCCTGTGTCGTCGTGGCAGTGCGTGGCATCCAAGCCACAGATTCCTCAACCGTATGATCGATTGAACATTTCTAGATCCTGGGCGTACCGGCAGATTTTCTGGGCGATGCGTACGTCTCCGTCTTTGACCTGTAAAATCGACCAGATTACTCTGCGTGATTTCGAGTCCCGTCATTGATGACGCGACCTGTGAGGGGTTCCTATTGTTAATGGTGACGAAGTATGTAAGATCAAGAGAACGTCTGCTCAAGTTGAGGTTACGACGCCAGATCCCGTGGAAAGTAAGAAACGGTTGATTGGAAGGGCCCAATCACACTGGAGTTGGGCGTTTCCGCCGGCTAGCCGGCTTTCATCCCAAGGAGAGAAGTTTCTTCTGTTCTTGTCCTGTGGACCTGCGATGCCTTGGGAACCCCCCTAACAGTCGCTGGTCAAGGTAAATGATGTTGCGGACGGATCGTCGCAAAGATGAAAAGCGGCCGTGCAATCGGCAAAGTGTCGCAAGACAAGAAGTCGCACCAAGAAAGCCCAAGCCCACGTGCCTAAGCTTGACACTGGAATTGGCTCCTCTGGTGCTCCGCTCGCGTCAGAATTTCTTTCCGCCCAGAGTGCCCAGGATGGAGATCTGGTCAAGAGCGGGCGAGGCGGGCACTTGGCACAGCGGACAGTCTTGGCAATGTCTGTCGGGGTTAGGGTCATGGACTGCTGATTCGTATCAATCACAGACGTAGGATGGGCTTTCCGTGTTTGCAGTGGAGGCAGGAAGGGCCACTGATCGTGGAATACCTCTACCTTGTAGTATTGCTTTTGCCTTTCGGTGATCATCTTTGGAGACGCAATACAAATAGTGGACAGTCGCGCTCCGATGCAGCTCCTTCTTGTCAAATACTCGAAACCCTCCAGACAGGTACATTGCCTCTTGACAGTACCTATATCACTTCCAGTCAGTAGCAATGGCACCTCCAGTCACCGCCAGATATGACTGGATCCTCGCCATCACAACCATTGCCTTTGTCTTCAGCTCTTTCGGTAATGGAGCCAACGATGTCGCCAACAGCTATGCAACCTCCGTGGCAGCCCGAACCCTTACCATGCCACAAGTCGGTTTCCTCTCCATGATCACCGAATTCGTCGGTGCTGTCGGTCTCGGTGCTCGCGTCACTAGCACGATCAAGAATGGTATCATCAGTATCAGCCGTTTCGAAGGTCGTCCCGGTGTGTTGATGTTGGCCATGGGCTGTGCTGAAGTCGGTAGCGCCACGTGGTTGATGGTTGCTACCGGTCTAGGATTCCCTGTTTCAACCACTCAAACAGTCGTCGGTGCCCTGATTGGTGTCGGCTTTGCTTCCGACTCGTCCATTAAATGGGCCTGGGAAAAAGGCAGCGTGTCGCAAGTTGCAGCTTCCTGGGCCATTGCACCTTTGATTTCCGCGGGATTTTCTGCCTTGCTTTTTGGTATTGTCAAGTACAGCGTGCTCGAGCAAAAAGAGTCTTTCAAGTGGGCGATGAGACTTATTCCCTATTACTTCGCCACCACCGCAGCCATCCTCGCTCTTTTCATCGTCGTCGAAGCCCCGACGGCTCCTTCCTTGGAGGAATTCGGCGCCGGAAAGGCCGTGGGTATCATCCTCGGAGTGTGGGCTGGGGTCCTTCTTATCGCCTATGTCTTCTTCATGCCCTATTTCGAGCGCCGCCTCATCAAAGAAGACGCTCGCGTCAAATTTTACCACGTTCCCCTCGGTCCTCTCCTCCGCAAGGACAACCCTCCATTATATTTTCCGGGCAAGGAAGACGGCAAATATGTGATTGACTATTACGAGGATCCATATGCCGAGACAGACTCGAATTCTGAGACGACGACGAACGAGAAGCACGTTTCGGATGGTAAGGCAGAACCGATTCCCTTTGACGATACCTCTGGATTGGAGAAAGGTCAGCCCACGCCCACTGGGACCGAAGGTCTTGTTGTTCGCAAGAGACCCCTCACACCCCATGAGCGATTTCTTGATCCCGTCCGTCATCTCAGCTGGGCAAATCCACAGCGCTGGTGGGGATATGCAAAGTTCGCCCTTTTACAAGGTGTCACTCGTGACTGCGTTACTCACGATTCGGCCAAGCTGCGCGAAGTTCACGCCAAAGCCCACAAATACGATGTCCGAGTTGAGCATTTGTGGACCTACTGTCAAGTGGCCTCAGCTATGTTGATGTCTATTGCCCATGGTAGCAATGACGTTGCCAATGCTGTTGGACCTTGGGCAGCAACTTACCAAACCTACAAAGCCGGTGAAGTTGACACCCAATCTGACACACCAGTTTGGTTCTTGGTGATTGCTGGGTTCCTTCTAGGTGCCGGATTTTGGTTCTATGGATACCACATCATACGAGCCCTTGGAAACAAGATCACGCAAATGTCACCGACTCGAGGATTCAGTGTTGAACTCGGCGCCGCCATTACAGTCCTGCTTGCATCTCGACTCGGACTTCCGGTCAGTACAACCCAATGTCTGACTGGTTCTACCATGGGCGTTGCGCTCATGAACTATGACCTTGGGGCTGTAAACTGGAGGCAGTTAGTCTTCATCTTCTGCGGATGGGTATTGACCTTGCCTTGCGCTGGATTGCTATCTGGACTATTGTGTGTGATGGCTCTTAATGCACCTTCTTTCTAAAGCTTGAAGCAAGGATAAGAGGTGCTACATTGTTGACTTGGTAGCTGTTGCAATCCTACTGGGATTGGTGACTTGGTTGATGGAGAGAGAGAGGATAGGAAATGGGGGATGGGGAGGGAGAAAGAGTGAACACGTGGTTAGGGGAATTGGAGCTCGGGAGGGTGGATGTGCACTTCGGCTGCTAGTACGGTGGATTAACTACCGCGAAGTACAAATATTTAGTATGCACTTCGCCTCTAAATTGGTGCAGAGATCCCCTTCAATTCTCTCTTGAAAGACCCTCTCAAATGTCTCCCTCGGAGTCTCTGGATTGAAGCCAAACAGGCCGAAGTCGAGCGCTCAACACATTGTCAAGGGAATGCAAGGGAACTTTAAGTACCTTGCAAAACCAACTCAGTCACCACTCATTCATCGACGCACTCCCGAGGCCACGGACGACACCGTGCACGTCGCCGAGAGAAGACCAATTCAGACTACGAGCTGGTTGCATTGCAGATTTTGACGAGTCCGTGAGTGTAAGTACCAATGAGAGGCTGTTGGCGGGCGAAGCTTGCGGAAGATTGCCAAGGAGATACATAGTGTGCCTGCTCTCCGAGCTTCCAAATGCGTTACGGAGAACAAATTGGATGCTGAAGTTCAAGACCTCTTTTGCAGGGTTGAAAACGCCCATCTGATGAAAAAGCAAAAGCACGGCTTGACCAAGGAGAAAATCGAAGACGTAAATTATCATTTGACTCCCCGTCGTCACGCTTGCTAATGTCACAAAAACTCACCACAAAACAAAGAATCAGGCAAATGTTCCAACTCGGCTTTCATTGCGCCTTTCCTTCAACCGAAATTCTTTTCGATCTTCTTGATCCACTTCCCAACGCCCTTCTCGATCTTCTCCGTGTGAGACGGCTTAGGTTGTGAGCCTGAGCTCTTTGGCGGTTTATGATGATGCGAGTGGTGCTCCGCCTCAGTCGGTCGGTAGACTTGAGAGTGAATGTCATAAGTTCCGGCAGCGGGCTGAGGTTGTTGTGGCTGCCCATAATTGTAGCTCGAATACCCTCCAAGGGGGGGAGCAGGGGCCGGAGCTTGGCTGCCGGCGGCCAGGTAGTCCGGGTACTGCGGCTGGACATGTTGGAGTGGTTTATGGGGCAGCCCGTTGATAGACTGGTAGAACTGTGTGCCCGGTGTTTGCACGTTCTGTTGGCCGAAGATGTGGGCGTTTGGATCCTGTCCATGGGGAGCATATGTCTGAGCAGCTGTTGAAATCGACGGGTGACGGCTGCTGTCGGAGCCGGCCGCACTAGTCGGTGGCGGGCCGAAATTCGTTGATACAGATGCCCGCGGAGAGGTCTGGAGTGGCGTCGAAGCTGCGTGCGGTCCAAAAGATTGCGACACCGTTGCCGTTGCTTGAGGACCAAAAGATGGCACAGGAGAGGTAGTGCTGGCATGTGGTCCAAACGATGGCTGCGGTGCGGCGCCGTAGTGTCCATACGCACTGGGCGGCGCAGCTTGGGAGCCGACGAAAGCTTGAGGTGGCTGCTGGGGAACGTAGGGGTTGTCATGTCTTGCTGCCGCAGCAAGCCCAGTCCCGTCACTAGCGTCGACCGGAGGAGGGGTATCCTCTCTATGGGCGATAGGTTCTGGCGCCGCTGGTGCTGCTGGGTTGTACGCGAGGGGGGTATAGTCTGTGGCGGGTTGTGGATCTTTAGTTGAGGGCCTTCCGCCAACGCTGGCAGTGACTGAGATTGGTGATGCCGATGCTGCTTGAGAGTGCGGAGGAGCCTGAGAGGTGGCTGGAGGCGGGGGAGCAGGAGGCAACTGAACGGGATGGGTGTGTTGGATTGATGGAGAGTCATGTTGCTGCTGCTTGTATGCTGGATCGGATATAGCCACATTCTCCAGGTTCTGCACCACCGGGCTGACCATGTCATGGTGATCCGACTCCTCATGCGCATCATCATCAATGTCCAATTGTCGCGGTTGCAGCAGCCTCTTGAAAATGTCCATGATCAACTTGGAATCACCCTGATTCCAGAAATAAGCATCAATGGTGTGAATTCTGTATTTGGAGGTTCCTGGATCTCGGGGATCCGAGCTGGCGAGACGCCATTCATCTGGGTCTCTTCCTGAACGGGGAGACGAAGGAGAAGTCGCCGCCGCATTGTCTCCGTCAACAACGAGCGTCACTCTCGTCGGAAATCTGTGAGAATTGATCACCTTGACTCCATCAAGGAAGCCGTTAAAAGCAGTCTGATCAGGAGTGCCGGGGTTGATCGCGGCCTCTATGCGACTTGTCTGTCTCGTGGAATTGTAGTAGACGTAGAAGTAGGAGGCTTTGTCGAAGCGATGGAGGGCTGGCCGGGGTGAGGGAGCCGTGAAGTAAGAGTGGAGGTCGACATATCTGAGGAACAGAATCAGCGTCAGACTGTGGTCGAGGGATAGTCACGGGCGTAGTGCTGCCCCTTACTTACACCGTAGCCAGCGTCTCTTCGCCCGGAAATGGTGGCATAATGGACGTAGTCGACCTTTCAGGGTTAGTGGGTGGTCGGTCAAGTTTGGTCGGGCGGCGTAGTAGCGAAGTGCTGTGAAGTCTCAAATATCAGCAGAGAAGCATTGCACTGTCTTGAGCGAAGGCTTATTCATGAGCCGAATTGCTATTAAATGACATCTTCATCATAAGCTTGAGTTGAGGTGGTTGACAAGAATGTGAAAGTCTGCAGGGCGGGCGGTTATTCGAATGTGACGCGTGGCTGAGATGGAAGTTGGAGTTTGTGATCATCAGGTGTGGCTGAGCTGGATGCCTTTTTTGGGAGGCGGCGGCTGTCTTGTGGTCGGTCAGCCACACATGACGTCGCCAGGCTCTGGGAACATCCAGCAGACATGGCAAGAAGCAATTTCCAGGGATATAACAGCAAAGACAACAAGTCTTCTCTCATGGGCTGTGTACAAGGGGACGTCTGTCAAGGCGTGAGGCATTAATCTATCCACGCATGGCTATCACCACCGACAACCAGCCGTCCGCATAGCAGCCCCATCTGGCCAGCTCCTCAAGATGAGCACTCATGGGAAGTGAGGCCCCATGTAGAAGCGGTGTGGCTAGAATCGGCGTCCTTCGAGATGGAAACAGGCTGGGCACAAGCTGATGCAAGGCCGTCCCCAACGTCTGAGGCTGTCCTGCGGTGACACTTCGCACTGCTGCAGGCAAGGTCTGGTTACCGACAGCTGCGACGGTGGGTGGGATGTGCGACTGCAGCACTTTGATTTGCGCTTTGCTCGGGTCTTGGTCTGGTGCAGAAGGTAAATACAGTCGCAAAGGGATATGTCTCATCTGGCCCGGTGTTGGTACCAAAGAGCCGTGGATTCTCGCAAAGGTGGGCAAATCATTGTCCTGGGTCGAGGTCCACAGGGCCTTGCTCTCCTGAGCCGACAAAGTCATGATGGGTTTCGCCGTGCCAGACCTCACAAAGTCTGCCTCTTTGACGGAATTGATGAAAGAGTCATGCAGAACGACGGGGCTTGCATCTGGCAGCATTGGCTTGTCCGGGTCAGGGGTGAAATGCAACGTTAGCTTGAATGGTAGAGGGTCGGAAGACGATGGATCTGGTCGGGCATCTTGGGTCGACCCCACGTAGACATCGTAGAGCAGCCCTAGCGGGAGATGCCATTTCAAGGGAACATTGTCATAAGTAAAATAGCCGGCATAAGGTGATATTGTCTCGGGATCGGCGATTAATGAAGGCGAGAAGAAGGCGTGAAGGCGTGGAAGGAGGAGTGGAAGATACGACAAACGAGGAAAAGCAATCTACAACAACAGCGGGTGTCAGTGTGATGATGGCTTCTACATTTCCAGGGGGCCCTTGTGTTCACTGGTGCACAACGAGGACTCACCAGGTAAGGGTCGGCGCCGTCAAAGGTACGACATTCTGAAGCGGCTAGTCGAATCTCCAGAGGCAGTCGAGCTTGCCAGACGATGCGCTGGAGGGATTGCAAAGCCTCGTCCTGGGCCATGATTGTTCTCACTTCTGAAGCGTGATGGTGCGGTGTAGCCTGTATAGGTGGGTAGTTTCGGATAATGTCGCTAGCTTGAGTGCCACATGCAGGAGGAATTGGCGAGCGGAGAGGAAGCGGAACGTCCTGCGCATCTCATCCGAAAGAGCCTTTTCCGCTTCAACGTCGGACACTGGTGTTGGCAGGGAGAGCTCTTTGAAACAGACGGAGATGGATCGACCGGCAGTTACTAGGTAATGAGTTAATGAAACGGAAGGCCGGAGCTGCGTTGTGGCCAGCCCACTTTGCGAGCTAGGCTCCAGCAAGGCTCCAAGCAGCGGGTTGAAGATGCTGTGGACAAGGCGATCCGACTCCGCTTCATCTGGCCTTTGTTCCACTGGTGTTCGAATAAGCGAGCGACACAACGCAGCACAGGCGACTTACATACTCCTTTTGCTGTGCATCCATGTTGACCATTTAATTAGAAGAGGAAGATAAACGGATATCGTTATCAACAAGAAACCTAAGGGGCTTCGTTGATTTAGGAGGTTCCAGGGGTTTCAGATTCCGGTAGGGCTGACCGGAGAGTCACAGTGGTCCCAAGGCCATTTCCATGTCGTGGTGGCTACAACAACAACAACAACAGGACAACATAATAATAGTAGTGAACGATCATTACTCCGTACGTAATACAACACACGCCCAAGCTCCCAAAAAAGCACCCGTCCCGACTGCAGCTAGAAAGATATCACCATCTAGCGTCAAGGGAGCTCCTTTCGCTCAAATTGCGAAATAGGCTTCTACCATAATAGAAGGTAATTCTAGATGGTTGGCTTGTCAGTTCACCAAAGCTACGGGGTCCTCGTAGACGGATGACACACTCCCAACCGCGCGGCTGGCTTGGGCTTGGGCTTGGGACAACGGAAGTTGACTCGTCAATGCGTGTTGACTGGGCGTGGCACCAACCGGCTATTCCCCTGCAGAAATCGCAGCATCTGGGACAACCCGACTTGTCGGGATACCCTGATTTCAATCTCGTTGGATGGTAACACAGCAGCGCGGAACAGGAATACAGTGGAGCATCCCGTTTCCTCGAGCTGCCAAGTCACCTTCTCGTCTCGGTGTTTGGGGAACTCGGTCCGTACTGCCAGAACTCGACGCTGGCTGGCGAAAAGAAAAACTAGGCCCAGGACAAGGGCTCGGGTTTCAAGGTCCAATACTGTCAGAATGGTGTTTAAACTTTGTGATTTGCATCGTTATCGTTACCGCAAAAGCCAGGAAGGTGCGGTACGGTGTCGACAAGTCATAGCACGAATAGAAGATCAGTTAGGCGTTGGGTTAGTTTAGGGCTGACGATAGCTCTGCATCTTTGCTGAGAAATTGGCGGGGATCCGTCACCTTGTCCGGCTGCTGCAAAGTCTCCTTCTGTTGGAGATAGGAACAACGACTGAAGGGCATGATGAGCACCCGGCCGCATCCTACCCAGTGTACAAGGTGAGCGCATGCGCATATACACGTATGTTTGTGGTTGGCTGGTGAAAAGCCACACTGATCACGCATAATCGAACGAGTCATATTTTTGAACAGGGGTTCTCCTCTCCCAGAGCCCCAAGAAGGCTGTATTTGACCAAGTCGGGTTGCAGGTCCAGCAGTCTAGGTAACTAGGAGTCTGTTGTCCAATGACTAGCTCTTCCAATTTGCGGGGGTATCGGTGGCCAGGCTCAATAGGTAATAGGTCTAGATGGGTCGTGGCTCTCGTATTCGTTGTTTCTTTCTCTCCTAGGCAAGTATTCGGTAGGCTTGTTGCAACGCTGCGCAGGTCTTTGCGTCAGAGATCCTGCTGGGTCTTTGCTCTTCCGTCTTCCGCGCCATCAAAGAGGGGGGAACAAGGGAAGAAAGAAAAGGAAAAAGAAAAATTGAAAATGAGGATCATTCGCTGGCCGTGCGCTGATTCGAGAGGTTTCGCCTGCCGTAAAAAAGGAGTCTCGCAGCTCTTTAGGAGCAATGAGGCAGTGCTTGAGGTAAGGGGGCGGCTTTTCTTTCATTGCATGCGTGTTGGAATGGAATACGACACAATATTTTCTTTTTCTGTTTTGTTTCCCGTGTGGTGGGGCCCCTTTATTGTTCGTTGTGCCCTCATTCGCCTGCCCTTCTATTGCATATGCGGACAGATGGTTTTCTCAGGCTCGAGGTGATGATGGGGGCGTGACAGGTTGCCGCAGATGGAGGAAGACTAAAATTTGGTAAAATGTGGAGGTAAGCCTGGAGACTGGAGACTGGAGCCTGGAGCCTGGAGCCTGGCAGCACTGAATGGTGGTACCAGGCAGCGTTCAGACCTCAAGTGTTAAGTGGAGGGTTCGGTAGGAAGGTGGATGGCAACCCAGGGGAGTCAGAGTCAGCTCCTACGGGAGCTTGTTGCAGCGCCGCTTGGGCTGTCAACTTTGGTTATGCCTTGGTTCCCCGTACCAATTATAATTTCGCTTTAGGAGGGGCTTAGCTAAAACAAGGCTCGTGCCATGTTCGCGCCGTGGTGGGCAACGGAGAGAGCCAGTGAGCATGCACGGGCGGCACCTCCTAGGCACTTACCTACAAGTAGGTAGCTCGGTGGGTAGGGCCCTACCTAGAGGCGAGCGGAGTTCGCTAAGCTGCTAGCTGCTAAGGTGCTAAGCTAACCAAACTGGAAGCTCGGAGACGTCTTCCATCTCGCTGGCCGTAATGTCTGGGTAGGCAAGGAGGAGCTGCTACTCTGAAATTTCTGTTGTCCTCTGTCATCTGATTCCCCCCGTGAAGCGCACATTACCCGTCTCTCCTCCCGTCTCGTCTCGCTTTTTGGTGTGGAAACGTCACCCTCCGGCCTTGTTCAGTTTCTTTCCGGCGTACGGAGCACCACTACCATTGTACAGTAGGTACCCAGTAGTTCCTCTTTTCCACTTGGGCCACTGGAACAAGCCCGTTCCTTCCGTATCCATCACCGATCTCCCCGTAGCCTTGGCCCTTGCCTACTTGGCAGGTAGAATCGAAATCCTTGGGTTTGGCCACGCGAGACCTTGGTGAGCTCTGCGCGACCGGTGGTGACGTCGAGAAGCTGTTCTCTTCGCTAAAAACTCAGTCTATTTTCCGCTCAGATCAGATCGACAAGTTGGGTGCTATTGGTGCTAGGCAAGGTCACGGTGGACATGGACACGGGTCTGCTCTCTCCCCTTCGAAGAGCCTGCCGGAAGCTAACATGCAAGGAGCACCCTTCCTTCAACCTACCTTACGAGGACGCAGTCCATAGCTCAAAACCGTGCATGGGCCTAAATCCAAGCCCCCAGAAGTACGGCCCCCGTTTCGCCAAAGCTACTGAGTAGGGAGTCGAGTTGAAACCATGGGCATGGAAAAGAGTGAAGCGTGGCCTACCTACCGAGTACCTAGCCAAATGAGCCGCCCGAACCCGCTAATGAGAAGAGTTGCAGGTGCCAGGGAGCTGGGGCCCCTGGGGGCTAATGAGGGACAAGCTTGAATCACGACTTTGCAGCTACC